CAAACAATTTGGCAGACCTAAAGATCTGAAGATCTAAACTCTAAGCAGAACTGAAAACTTGCAAATTCTCACAACAATTTTCCAAGAGTATTGGAACAAAATGTTTCTCCTTGCCCCTAGCTTTCTTTTCTTTTCTTTCTTTTCTTTTTTTTTAAGTTTTTATTTATTTATTTGACAGACAGAGATCACAAGTAGGCAGAGAGGCAGGCAGAGAGAGAGGAAGGGAAGCAGGCTCCCTGCTGAGCAGAGAGCCCGATGTGGGGCTCAATCCCAGGGCTCTGGGATCATGACCTGAGCCCAAGGCAGAGGCTTTAATCCACTGAGCCACCCAGGTGCCCGCCCCTAGCTTTCTGTAGCACTCAATGCTAGCTTTCCCCCAGGGCTCCGGGGTTGGACAGCTCCCTCCTTCAGAGATGGTTTCCTTTACAGAGATGAAGAACTGGCTGTTTTCCAGAAGGGCGAAGCCTCAGCCTGTGTATGAGGCTGTGTGTGTGCATGTTTATGTGTATGTGTGAGTGTGTACCTACGGGTGTGTGTGTTACAAGTATGTCTGAGTATATGCAAACGTGCATGGCTGTGTGAATGTGGTATGTATGGGTGCCCTCGTGTTTGTCTCAGGGTATATCTTGGTTTATTTGTGATTGTGTAAGTTTTTCTCTGTGTGTTTGTATGTATATGTATGTTTGTGTTCTATGTGTGTATACTAAGTATGTGTGAATATGTGTGTTTGTCTGTGTATATATGTGTTTGTGTGGGTGTGGGTGTCCTGGGACGTGTCCAAGGGACCCTCCCTGCCCATACAGCTGTTCTCGCTGGGCTTTGAGCCCTGTCACTCTGCGGGACTCACAGAAGCCTCTGGGCCCTGCCGATGGGGAGGACACTGAACCGGGTGAGCCAGCATCTCCCCAGACTCCTTGGCTGTTCCATGGGCTTTGCTGTCTTTTTATGACCGTCTTACTCTCTGCCGAGCCCCAGCAGAGAACATCACCAAAGAACACTTGTGTGCAGATAAGGTAAAAATTTTCATTTTAAGTGAAAGGACTCCTCATATCGGAATCTGAGTTTACAGGTTAAATTCTGTCTTAGTGACTCCCAGGGTCGGCTTAAATTCCAGTTTTTAAAGTGGAATCTTGTGATATCAAATACTGCAGGAAATAGGTTGAGTTTATTAGGGACTTGGAGATCTTCTTCCGCCTTGGAAATTTTGGTTACGACTTTATTTCTGGTAGAAGACCTCTTTAACCTTTGTCCTGTTTGAGCTCTCTGAATTTAAAAATAATAATAATTTATTGCAGGGTTAAAAAAAAAAAGCTTGTGTTTTTGCTCCTGGAAAAATTTCTAGATAGCTTACATTTCACACTAATCAAAATAATTACATGGAGTGCTGTCACCTGAAGTGTGGGATCTGAATTCACAGGTCTCCACCCCCTCACTGGCAGGGATGAATCTGAACTTGACAGATGTCATCAACAAGCTGGCACATTGCAGCTGCGGGGAGGGGATCAGCAGGACAGGGCCTTCTGCTTCCCACCCTCCTCTGGGCGTTAGGTGTCTGTCCCATACAGCACAGGCACACTCTGTTTGCAGGATCTAAATGTGTGTCTCAGACATTTCCATTTGCCCAGTTGTTACCGAGCACAAGACGCCAGTGGCTCGTCTACTCCCTTGTGACCGTACAGAGCAGCTTTGAGACTACCTCTACCTTCCATAAAGTGACAGGGGTAGAGCCAGCCAGGCGAGGCACATCCAGATCCCTCCAGCTCTCAGGCTGGGTTAGCCAACCTTAAGCATCGGCTCTTGGTTCAAATCCCACTTCCCCCACTGCGGGACCTTGGGCACTTCGCTTCCCATCTCCAGGCTCAATTTTCTCATCTGTAAAATGGGGATAAGAACACTTTCCTCACCCAGTGGTGAGGATGTACATCCAGGACCTGACAGAGCTCGTAACAGGCTCTTGACATCTAGTTTTACCATTATTGGAATATTATGGATCTCACAAATCACTTCTACGCTATCTTTGTTTTTAAAAACGCCAACCCCCTTAAAAAATCTACATTGGAGTACAGTAGGAAAGATTTTATTTTTTTTTTAACCTAAAAAGGGCCCTTAGAATGACCCTCTCATTTTTGCCAAACTCGAGGACCCCGGTTTAGTCCTAAGGCCTCAGAGAACCCCGAGTCTGGGCAGCGCAGCGGGACCCAGCAGGAAGCACCCGCAAGCTGAAGGCCGAGGCTCGTCGGTCGCTGTTGGTGCTGCTGCTCAGCGAGCCGCCGCCGCCGCAGTTTCCAAGCCTCCCGAACTCCGCGGCCCGCCCGCCCTCGCATGCATTAGCCGTAATGTATTCTCTCTTGAATACTCATCAGATTAAGGCTCCCGGTAGCTACCTTGCTCGAAATAAATTTTATGAGCACACATCCTCGCCCTCAGCCCCTGCACTGGCGGCTGCGAGGAGAAATCCAGCCGCCCCTCTGCCGGCGGCCAGGCCCCCCAACAATTAGGTGGGAATCGGCGCCCTCTGGCCCCGGAGTCGGGCGGCTGCGGGAGGGAGCGGGCTGGGGCGCCCCGGGCCGGGACCAACGCTCTCCGTCCGGGTTCTCCAAGGGTTCATGAGCGTCCGCGGGCGCCGGCAGGGGACCTGGCCCCGGGGCTCCGGCCCCGGGGCTCCGGCCGGCGGCTCACCAAAGACGCCCCCAGCGGGCGGTGTCGCCGCGTCACCCGGCCTGGGACGAGCCCCCGCGGCTGGTGGGGCCTCGATCTCGTCTCCGCTCCGCTTGCAAAACGGTGCCAGAGCGATCTGCTCCTCACCTCCCTCCGCAAGCCCCTGGCTCAGCAGACGCAGCGCCTGCAAATGCAAAGGCGGGCCGGAGAGCCGCGCTCCCCGGCCCTTAGTGACATTTTTACAAGAGTTATCCCCCGCTTCCCCCCGCGGGCTGGCCTGGTCACACCGCAGGAGCCCCTGGTGAGTCTCTCTCCTTTCTCAGAGTCTCCAGATCTCTCCCCGTCTAAGGCCCCTGCTCCCCTTCCCTGCTGCTCCAGGGGATGCCAGTCCTGAGGGACCCTGAGACAGGCAGGGGTGCGGTTGTAGCTGGGGAGCGCTACCTGCGGGCGGACAGGCATGGCCCGAGCCCTGGCGGAGCTGCCCTGTGATGTGGGGAGCTCTCGACATCTACGCAGGGATCCTTGGGGGGGGGCCCAATGAGATCAAGTCCATGAACTTGCCCCTAACTTTCCTTCCCCTCAGCCACAACAGCACCACATCTAACACCTGGTTACTGCAGTTATCTCCTAATACCAGCAAACCTTTATTGAGCACTTACTGTTTACTGGCCCAGTTTCAGGCCTATTGATTCAATTACTCTTCACAGCAATCGTACCAGGTGCTATTTTCTTCACCAACTCAACGGCCCCCCCCCCCCCCCCCCCCCCC